GACAGAGAGGAAAATCGAAAGGCAACGAGGCACTGAGAGAAAGTGGGGAAGAAGGGTACCTTCCTTTGATACCAATGTAAAGCACCGCAACACAAGAAGCTATCTCAAGAATATGCTCTCACAGGAATCTCCTCCTAAACTTCTCCCACAACCAAAAATTTCTATCCCTCCTCTCAGAAAACTTTTTCAACAACAACCCAAAAAAACCCAAAAAAAATCAATCAAAAGAAAATATGTTTATAGGCAGAGAAGAGAGGGGAAGAGACAAAAGATCACCCCTTGAACCCACGACCTCGAATCGGGCCAAAGAAGAAAATGACGCGCTCCCTACTCACAGAAGGCGAAGCCACCGAAACATCTCGGATCGAGTGGCAAACCCAATAGCAACGAGGGAAGCATCGGAAAGAAGAGAGAGTTTGCCATTCAAGTGTACCGGGGAGCAAGCTTCCCAGAGTCAAACTACCAAGAAAAGGAAAAAACGCAGCTCAGAGAGACTGACACGGCTTCGGGAAGGAGGGCCGCGGGCAGAAGAATGTCAGGCAAGGACGAACGAGGTCAACTTTCTCTCGCGTGGAGGAGGAGAAGCTCGGTTGGCTCGAGACCGAGAAATGGAAAAGCCAGACACGCGAAGGGAGGCAGAGCCCGGGTGCGTGAGTTTAGGGATTTAGTGCTGAAAAAGGAAAGGGGGATCTGGTTTTATATAAATTAATATATATATAATTATATGCGATTTATTCACGCGCGGCGTCGTAACAAAATGGGTGTCCTCCTTGGGCAAAATCGACGCTCCGGACGTGCCAGTGTAGTCCGTTTTGTCATCCGGGGTCGCTCGGACGACGTCGTCGACAATCGGGTAAAAAATGCGTCAAAATTGAAATCTTCGGGAAGGAAGGCCGCGGGCAGGAAGTGTCGGGCAAGGATGAATGAGAAGTCAACTTTCTCTATCCTTGGGCAAAATCGATGCTCCGGACGTGCCGGTGCAGTCCGTTTTAACATCCAGGGTCGCTCGGACGACGTCGTCGACAATCGCGGCAAAACAACGCGCCCAAATTCAAA